AGGTCCAGAAAGGGTAGACACTTTTTTTTTGTTTTATTCCCTCAAATGGGGGAAAATTGGTTATTGAGGAGATGATCAAAACCTGTGCTTCATCTGTGCCAAAATAAATGTTTCTCTGGTATCGATAGTGCCCTGCAGTGAAGGAGGGAGAAAAACCTGGAAATTGGACAATCTCTCCTGTGTGGATTGGAGGATGAGATGTCGTCTTCGAGAGCAGCTCCCCATCACTGCTGTTCCCGGGCTGCATTCTTCAAAGCATCATAAGCCCGCATCTTCAGACTTGCCTGTTTTTTTCTGATCTGCAGTCTTTTTTTTAAGAGAATATGCTTTTCCTCCCACAATCCTTTTTTTTTTTTTTATGAATTGAGTTTCAAGGAAGTTATTTCTATATTTACCCTTCCTCACGAGAAATAAGCAAGGTGTGGAGACCCCCTGATTCAAGCTAATACTTTAACCTGCCATTTCTTGTGTGACACTGAGCAGTGGCAGGCCTGAGCTCCTGAGGTGATTAGCGTCCTGCGGGGATGCAGTGCCACAGGGGCAGGAGGCCCCGAAACCCATGTTCAGAGTGTAGCCAGCAAATGTGAGCCATGTGCTTTATGGGCAAGACTTGACTGACCCTTAGGATGTCACATCGCTCCCTCCCCTCCCCCAGGAAAGAAGCCTCTTACGGACCTGCCCACATCTCGACACCTGACAAGATGTTTTTGGCAGAGACAGGCGTTTGGCAGAGACGTGTCTCTGAGGCTGTGGGCAGGGCTGTTAGTCTTCTCATGTGCCCGCTTCACTTAATGGTTTTTAAGTCAAGGTCAAATCTGATTCTGTGGAAGGTTAAATGGCTGTGAAGCTGACATAGACAAATAGAACAAGAAAGGTCAAGCACCAACCTTTATATAATACCACCTTTGAGAGACACCAGAAATGCAAAATAAATATGTAGTGACATAGAACTATGTCAACCAGAACACCTGGGCTGAACCGAAATGTTGGGAACTTCCAAAGAAAAAGTACAATTCTATTTTGTGACAAGAGCTTTTGCACCATTCAACAAAGAGGCCATTAGACCGAGGTTGCTCCAGTACCTGGTAACTGACCTCACTCAGCAAGAAACCTCAAGCAGAGCCGGTGTGCTCCACCTGAGGAGGTGCAACTTGAGAACCAGTCTCAGGCAGCCCAAACCAAGCGCCACTTAACCTACAGCCAGATCATTTCCTTGCTCTGCTTCTGCATATTCTCTGAGAAAACCTGCCCCCAGTCCTGTGGGTGGGGCAGGCCTACCCACTCTTGAGTTCGGTGCTGCCTGGTGGGAATCAATATATGCGCAAATAACCACTTGATGATTTTGATGTGCCTCGTTTATCTTTGACAGGGATAAGATGGATTCATGGCTTGGTTTTATTTTATAATCAGTAGCAGAGCTATGAGTAGAAGTTCCTGCCCCTTTATTTCTGCACTTTCTCTCATGCATGCATTCATTCATTCATTCATGCAACAAATATAACTTGGATACCTACTGCATGCCAGGCACGGGCACTGATCTAGACACCCAGAATAGAAAAATACAAAACCTTGCCTTCCTGCAGAGCTAACGTTCTTGTGCAGAAAATCTCACTAAATGGATTTTCTCACCCAGAGTTCTTCAAATTTTGAAAAGTTCTCAAAGATCTAGAGGGGTGCTGTGTGAGTGAGGGTGCACCCCACTTCAGAAGCACTAGAAGTGTAAATTTCTGCCACTACCCTATGGAATAAAATTGGATTCTGTTGGGTGAATGATCATTTCAGTACCCACAGAATACTGGCATGCTGCAACACAAGGAAATTGTGTTCTCCTGGGGTCGAATGGCACGTGCTCTCAGCCCCACCAGCTTTGACTCATCCCGCTCAGGAAGCCCAGCCCTCCGCAAGAAGGGCAGGTTAAGTAATGGAACTCACACAACAGGTGTGACAGCGGGAGGCCTTCACCTCACAAACAAATGACATAAAGGCCACAAAAATTGCCCATGAATGTGTTATCATAATAGAAAGCAGCCGTGTTGCAGGATGGTCCCTTTGAGTCCCCTGAGAGCTGGCTGTGCTTCTCTCGCCAGACCTGGCCACCTTGTGTTGCTAGGCATTGCCTCCGTGGTGCAAAACTGTCCTCTCCCAAACATTTAGGCAGGTATATTGTGGGGGTGGATTCTTGCTTTGAGCTTCAACAGTCCCTCATACTAACCAAATCTCAGGTTAATCTTTGCTTTGTCATGCACCTCCAAATGGGTATAATCCGCCATGACTGACAAAGAGTCTTCAGTCACAGCAGCTGCACCTGAATGCACAGGCACTGACCCAAGTACGGTCCTGGCCATCTGACACCGCTGGACCCTGAGTTCTCCCAGCCCTGACCCGGGAGCACTTGGCCCACAGGCATCCAGTCTCAGCCTAACTGCTTTTAGAGACTCTCAGATGAAATATAAATGAGAGACACTAAGAGCCTGTGTCCCAAATGCTGTTCACAGGCAGATATGACGCCCAGCCCTTGGGCCTGGTTGCAGTGAGTATGTCAAAGAACATTTGATGCCCGTATTTCCTGAATTAAAATTTTCAAGGAGAGCGTCAGGAGCCCCTGGGTGGGTAGGTATCAGACTGGCATATCAAACTCCTTCCCGACTGCCTTGGCTCTGCTGTGCAGGACAGGTGACATCCTTGGCAAACAGAACCTGCAAAGTACCTTTTCTTAATAAACAATATTTAAGATTAATGTTGTGATCTAGAGAGAAGGAGACTGTGACTTTTCATTTACATAGGAACGTGAAATACAGGTTACAGAGTCTTGAGTCTCCTGAGAAGATCGTTGAATGTGGTGCAAGGTCAGACTGGCATGAAATCAATTGTAATCTGCCAGCAAACCATCCGAATTGCTTAGAGAGCTTCCATATATATATACACACACACACACACACACACACACACACACACACACACACTCTTTTCCCCTTTATAGAGACAGCAAAGTGCATTTAAAGAAAGTCTCATCCAGTCAGAATGTCTGCCTCATATTATTTTTTTAATCAGTTGCTGCTGTAGTGTGACCAAAACCGCCTGGTATTTAACCCTCTGTGCAACTTTGACTAATGAATGTGTTTTGTCTGCGATAGCAGTCTTGCTAGACGTCTTTTATGGGGGCTTTAAAAAATTGCCATATATTATGAAAACCTCAGATCCCTTGAGTTAATTGATTGGCTGTTGGCAGTGCCATCTCTATAACCGTAATGTGCCATAATTGCTCAGACCTAACTATTTTTCTTATTTTTATCCAGTGGTTCCGTTTTATAATGACATTAAGCTATCCTGAGCGATACATTTCTGGACAGTTATTGCACTTGGGTGGGAAGTGTCATCTGGCTTTTAGCCTTGCGCCTGACGACACCAACCGAGGCGTAAAATGATCACCCAGAAAATGTACTGGGCCTTACCTCATTACTTACAAATAAATCTTGGAGTCTGGTTCTGTTTCAGGAAAGATTTGGTGAGTTATAATGTTTGATTTATGAACATAATTAAAATATAAATGATGAGCTCTGGGCTATTCAATCAGCCATCTGGATTGTTCAGTATTTTGACATACTCAGGATCTTCCTGGGAAAATTTAACATCCCTGAATTCTAGAGGAGCCAACGACATCCCAGGGTTTCTATTCCACCCGTTGAGAACACTTGTGTTCTCCTTCCAGGGCAAAGGAAGGGGACAGAATTTGTTTTTAAGTTTCCTTTACCTCCAGGAGGATATTGGCACACAGACCCTCAGTTGGTTCCTAGGTTGGATGTGGAGATGGCTCAGCTGCCCATGATCAGGTAATAAGTGCATAAACATCACATTTGCCAACAGAGGAGGACATTTTTCTCTATAATACAAGCAAATTTAATGTTTACCTTTTGAGTCAGCCATTAAGGTACCTATGGCAGCTGTCCCTATAAGTAGATGTTTCTTCAGAAACCTTAAGAGTAAATTGGGAAAATCAGTTATCCAAATTGAATGTGTATTTTCTTTGGCTTAGTGTGTATTTTTTTTTTTTAACCGAAGTTCCAGGTATAGCAAGTCCTTAGTTTGTTCTTCCTAATTTATGTGAGTAATTGACAAGTGCAAATAGCCGTTAGGAACATAAAAAAAGCCTTTAAAACAAACTCACTGGTACTGAAAAGGCAGGGTGGATAGATTTTCAGCATTTTCTTTATTATTAATGGAAGTTGAGCCTGTAAAACCCTGAGTGCACCATGCAGAAAAATAGACCCTCTCGGTCTGCTTGTAAATTACACAAAGGGAAAAAAATGCCAAAAAAACCTTCCACATAGGCCAGCAAGCATTCCACTTCTCCTTAATTAATGGGCCAAAGTCAGCAGTGCATGGAAAATGTAGCCCTTCGGTGGATCGGCGATTAACCTATAAGCAAATGTTACATTTCAGCCCAAATTCTGGGCTTTAAATTTAGCCTCACCCAGGATAGTTCAATAGTAAGAATGACAGAGGTTCCCTGGCCAGGAACTCCACAAGCACTGCCATTTCTGAGTATGAACTGTTAACAGAGCAGATCTTTTATTGTCTATGCTTTCATTGGTATGACCTCTCGTTATTATTTTTGTGCCTTTTTTTAAATAAACTACACCAGCTAGCCGTGCGTGTGTGTGTGTGTGTGTGTGTGTGTGTCCACACATGGCACCCAGTGGTTGCAGTTGGCCTACAAAGGTCTATAGCCCAGGAGCTCCCGTGTCCACCTAACAGCCCATGCTCACTCAAGGTCATCCGTTTGTCCTTCATGAGTACACCCGCCTTTCTTTAATGACTGTCATTCCAACGCAGTTATCAGTGTCTGGAAACCTCTGCACCATTTTGTTCTTAAGCATTTCATTTGCCATCATGTCCAAGAATAGAAGTGTGTTACTTGCAAGGGTCAGCTGGCGCTTTCGGGCCTATTAACTTATGGTCTCTGGCAAGTGACTTAGCTTCTCAGAAAGCATTCCTGGTACTCAGTGTGCAGTGCATGCTGGTACATGGGAAGGAGCTCTTAAAAGGTTTGGAATGTCACATGGTTCTCAGAGACATACGAGAAAGATCTGTGATCGGAGCAAGACTATAAAAATGTGTCTGGAAAGCAGCCATCACTGGAGAGGTCTCCCTAATGCAGCTTATTTAGCGGTGCACAGGTTGAGATTGGCGGGGCTGCCATATTTCTGCTGTGTCCCTTATTCCATAGGATGAATGTTAATGAGCTAGCCAGAGCTTGTCAAAGGCCAGGGGGCTGTGGGTATCTGAAAAAGTAAAGTATGGAAATTGTTTTGACCTTTCAGCCAACTGATGTTTTGCCCTCTCACACTTATTACTCTTGGGTACATGGCCAAAAATGTACATTTAGAGAGCCACAGATTTAAATGAGAAAAGTGATTTAGGGATTAATAGCTTGGTAGTTAAGTGGAGGAAAAAAACCTCCCCATTCCATTCAAGGTTATTTTTTGGTTTTTTTGCTTTTTTTTTTTTTTTTTTAATTTGTATGTCTGTGTATCTAAAATTAATCCCAGCCTTTTCCACTTCCCCACTCCCGGCCCTCCTCAGCATTCATCTCCTACCCGCCCCCTCCAAACTCAGAAATACGTTTTTTAAGTAACTGTTAGAAATAGGACTATCCCCTGCCTCACTTTTCTAAGTCCTTCGTTGCATTAGGAAGCTTGGGAATACTTTGTGGCCTTTAGTTATGGATTGGTACTGGGAAATATGGTTTTCATCTAGAAAGCCCTCCCATCATGTATTTCATGGATGGTCTCTCATTGGGCTCTGTCTGTGACCTTGGGCGAGCTAGTCCATTCTCTGGGTACCAAGTGTCTCCCTTCCTAAAAATGGGCTCTCACCACCACGCACGGCTCCTCTTCCTGTCCTTCCTTCCTCTATGTTTACGTTGAGACATCAGCGAGTTTCATTAGGGGCCCCCTGGAACCTCCCAGTTCCTTCTTCTCCAGGCCTTTCAGCTAGAATTCAGGAGTTTTGCTTTCCTCGTTTGAAAACAAGAGCCTGGAAGAGGCAAACTTATTAATATGCAGCATCACAGCAAATTGTCACGTAGTAATATATGATATATGATAAAATGTATCAATTCTGAGCACCCCAAATCTCTGTGGCTTCACCTCAGCATGAAGGCAAATGAGTTTCCTTTAGCTTGAGTGAGTTTGGAGATAAACTTCAATGTAACAAAATGTATTTCACAGGAAATGTTTGATGTGGCACAGTTGGCTTATGAATCTCTTATCTATTCGCGGTTCACTCCTTAGAGTTATTAGTCAATTTAATTTGAGCAAATGCCAGGATTACTAACTAATTAGAAGGATGTTACTGAAGGCTTGAGGACGGGAGAGTCGGCGCTGGCGGTGTGGGGTTTGTGGCCGCGTGCTGGTCTGATTTCGCCTGATGATACCATTTGCTAAACATTATACTTTGTGTTGTCGTCACACAGATAAGCCTCAAGTGCATATTCAGATGACTTATCCTGTACAAGGCCTAACCCGGGAAGGGGACGCGCTTGAGTTAACATGTGAAGCCATCGGGAAGCCCCAGTAAGTTCTGAAGGCCAAGGTTGGCAGAGGGTCGTGAGCAGTAAATGTCACAACACAGAGATGTGCATTCACAACGCACTGGCCTGTCACCTGTCTCCTGCTGTAAGGGATGGAAGATTTTTCAGGAAATAAAAGAATGTTCTGTGAAAAGGGGAATAAATATCTGTGGTTCCTAATGGCCAGGAGTGGGAGAAAAATGAAATGCCAGCTAAGATTGAAATCTCAGCTAATTCTATTTTATTATCATCAGCATGATTGTCAGACCTATTTTCTCTCTCACACACAAAATAATCCTAATAAATTTTTAGTGTGCCCACAATCTAATGATATCTGCTACCTTCTGTGTTTATGTCTGAGCTGCTGGAAAGGTGGTTTTCAGGCTTAAATTGAGCGGCTGTCTTCAGGACCAGCTGCAGGCAAATGAATTTGCCCTGCCTTTAATTTTGCTTCTCCTTCCTTCAAAGAAAAGTGTCAGCCTTGACTCCTGGAAATACTTCTGCTAGCAAGGAATGCTTCGGAAACTTTTCTCAAGGAATATATTTTTTTTTTCCTCAAGGAACATTTTATTTATACACACACACACACACACACACACACACACGCATGCATGAATTGCATAAGAGAATTGCATAGGAAAACCAACTTACATTTTTATTTCACTGAAATGTATGAAAAGGCTACTTCACTTGCCCTGCTTATTGAATGATAGTGAATTAGAGAAACTACATGTGTCATAAATACAACAAAATAGCTACGTGGTGGCAGGATGTTGATAGTATTCAGCTTCATTAGGAGAGCAGAGGGAGTCTTCCATCTCTCTAATGGAGTGAAGATTGTAACTGTTTCTTGGGGAAAACAATCCATGAAGTTCCAGAATGGAACGAGGTCACTGTTGGGAGGAAGCGCTCCCCACCTTGGAGTGGGTCCCCAACAAAAAGCAGCGTGAGCTCCCTCTACTGTTCCCGTGCTATTTTTTCCCCTCCCAGAGTTTTGCTAACCAGCATCATTAGCACAGCTTCCCTTAAGGAACTCAGAGAGTCTTTCCCAAACTGCCCCAGAATCTTTGGAAAGAACCACTCCCGCAGGAGCTACTGCCAGGCAGTGGGCTCTCAAATGAGATCAGAGAGAGCAGGGAGCCTGGCTGCAGTGGATTGTCTCTCAACCCTCCTCTGTTGAACTTACCTTCCCATAGGCTAGAATCTGCCCCTCTCTGTACTCACCATTTTGCGTTTTAAAGATGACCTTGTGGAAGTAGGGGGCCGTCTTGGGTCTGCGTGGCTGTTCCGCAGTTCCTTGGTTCAAGCACTTCAGGCTTCCACAGAGCTGCCTTGCACTCTTTTGAACACTGCCAATGACCCAGAGCTTGCTTTCTGTAAACTGTTTGAATTATTCTCTAGTTAGCAGCTTACCTCACCTCCAAAACAATCTAATGGAGGGAAAAAAAAAGATTTTCACAGGCCTCTTGCCACTTGCAAGACCTATATTCAGCCGCATTAACCACATTTACAGTATCTGGCTTGCTAACCTATATTTTGTTTCTGTGTTTTTCCCCCTGAAGAAGGTACTGTGTTCAATTGAATGTGCCACGGGGACAGTAAATTACACGTTTCCTTCAGGACATTTATGCCAGAGAGGGTATTTGTTTGTTCCTCTCAAATAGGAGCGGGTATATGGCTGTGTGAGCAGACGCACGTTACTCTGCCGCTATCCCTTCTAGCATATTACCTATTTATTTTCTCAAGAAATTGCATACAATAAAAATGGTAATTTAACTTGCCATTAAATGTTGTGAATATTCTCAGCACTTACCCCCACTGATTGTTTCAGCTGTCAAGCAGCAGGACATTAGGTCTGATTGCCAGGCAGACCCATTTGCCATTGCCTGCAAGGAGGACATATGCGGTCCTAATTTTTAAATAATTTACTGGGTTGTGATGACAAACCCATGTGTAATTAAAGAAAAATTGTAACTTCACATCCCATTTGAAAATTGGAATTCTACTTGACAGGGCTAACTTGAGTATCCGTTCATCATCAGGCCCGGGGCTCCTGGCATCGTGCTGCCCCTAGCGGTAGCGGTTGGAACTGCGGGGAGCTGCTGCCCTGGCCCTTCCTTTAAAGTACAAGTTTTCAGGCACCATCCTGGATGTGGCCTCCAGCTCACAGGAGGTGGAGGGAACAGTGGTCTCCAAATGTTTTAAACTCAGTGACTTTGAAAGAAGCTCTGTGAGTGTGTGTGTGAGTGTGTGTTTGTGTGTGTGTGTTTAGTTTGGCTCTGAGCTCTTGCAAAGTTCGCTTTTTCCTGGTGGCTACATAGTTGGTGCTGAAATCTCTAAAACAAACTTGTCACTCATGAGCAAGTGCCCCCGGACCTCCAGAGCTCAGGTGGGGGTGCTCTCCAGCCACGAACCTGGGAGCCTGCAGGTGCACACCCAGCAGGAGGGGAGCAGAGGGTGGCTTTTAGAGAGAGGACATTTTGCCAAAGAGTTCCAAAGAGCTCATGGATTTGGTGGGGGAGGGCATCTGGGGGTGGCCTGGCTTCTTTATTTGGGGGAGGGGAGTCAGGTCATTGGTCAGGGTTAAGGGGAGAGGAAGTGATTACATCTTTCAGTAATGCGAAGAGGTGTTTTTTTTCAAAGGCCAAAAGAAAGCTCTATTCAGATGTAAAAGTCTGTCCCCTTCTGTAAAACTCCAAATCCATTTAAATATCACAAGTGGCTTCCAAGCGAGTGTCTTGGTGTGTTAGTAACCATCAGATGAATGCTTGTATCACTGGCCAAGAATTTGATTTTTTCCCTAATTAATGAGATGATTAACAATGGGTGAGCTCTGTCCTGTCTGAATTGGTGTGAAACCACTCAGCGGGACATAAAAATGGGGCCTATTGGTTTATTTGCTGATTTGTTGAAGATGAATTGGAAATAATGAGACTCCTGCTTGCGGTCTGTTGAAAGTTTCTCAACACCTGATAATATTTTTTTCAAAAAATGATACTCCAAACAGATTTTATGGAGACTTCATGGTGGTAATCCTGTGAACTTAAAGTATCTCCAGCAGGTCCTTTTTAATTGTGTCACCCTGCATGTGGTTCATTTAATGCGTGGGTGAGAAGTGTGATGCAGACATCTTAGTGGGAAATAAGAATGCAACCTGTCTTTCTCCCCTTTCTTCTGCAGGCCTGTGATGGTAACTTGGGTGAGAGTCGATGATGAAATGCCTCAGCACGCTGTACTGTCCGGACCCAGTTTGTTCATCAATAACCTGAACAAAACAGATAATGGTACATACCGCTGTGAAGCCTCAAACATAGTGGGCAAAGCTCACTCGGATTATATGCTGTATGTATACGGTACGTGCGAAGATAAACGCTCTTCCACTAGACTCATTTACAATTAGCTGCTGCTCTTTGGTCAAGTTGAAAACCAAAAACCAGTTTGTTTCCTTCCAGAACTTAAAGACGCCTGGCCTGAGGTGGACGCCGGCGTTGCTACCTAGGGGGGGCTGCGACTTTTCTTGTCTCCCTCTAATCCTGGGGATTTCCCACGAGATCACAGTCTTTGACCGTGCTGAGTAGGAGAGCGGTGTCCTCAGGCACAAGCTATGGAGATTATGTTGGAAATAATGACTGCGAAATTCAACCTTACCAATTAATGGCTTTTCAGCTCAGAAAGTTTATTCCCAGTGGTATTTCCTGTGATACCTGGGCTAGTCTCTCTTCTGCTTTGATGAGCAGAAATATTCTATTTTCAGCATGAAGCTATTACTTTGTAGAAGATGTGGCAAGCCAGTAAATACTTGGAAAAAAAGATAAGGTCCTTGAGAGTTACATAACCTATCTATAGCTACTGCTTTAGACACAGCTGCTTTTTCTTTTGTTTGTTTACTTAACATCTTTCTTACAGGATAATTAAAGCATACTTGTCATGAGTTTCAATCTCTAATCAAAGATTTATTGAGCATCTACTATGTGCAAAACATCTTAAATTTCTCTCCCATTTATATCTTACTGTCAGTTTTGAATATGGTGAGTAGTCTCTATTTAGGTGAGGAGGGCCCACCCAGCTTCTAGTCTCCAATGACAAATTAGTTCTTTGCTGTTCAGTTGAAGCTGCTTGGTTATTTTTCTGCCAGGAAGCATAGTTCTGAGCTGACATGGTACTGAATGAATAACCATAGGCTTGAAAATGCCAGTATATTATAAGTGTAGGAATATGTGTACATATCTTTCTTCATATCAAGCAGTATAACTAATCCAAATATAAGTGTATGTGAATACACACATATACACACATGTGAGATGTTTACACTATAATGTCATTGGTACCTGGCCACTTTTCTTGATGAAGAAAATAGGAGTAGCAGCCTTTCTGATGAAACATGCTTTATACCATAACTACATGAGTGTTAAAATAGTCTCCTTCGCCTATACCTCTAAGGTTTGGGTTACACTAATTGTTCCTCAGCAAAATCCAAGGAGTGTGTCTAATAATCTTACTTGTAGACTTCCGGGGGTGTGTTTACATTGCACACTCCCACAACGTCTGTGGTTTCCATGTAACACCGTCAGTTCTCCCTAGTAGTTAAGATGGAGGTGAGGGAATGGCTCACCTATGGGGAGGAGCAGGGTTAGACCCCATTTTCAGTAGGCATTACCCAGGGCCCCCACTATTCCTGGGCCGCTCAGGCTGCAGGTATGAGGGGGTGAAGCTAAGTCCCTCCCTTTTGCTTCTATAGTCTTTCCTTTGGCTTTCTTTAGGGAACCGAGGCTCGTCCTCATATATGTGCCCTACACTGCTATGACCCGGGTTTCTATCCAGTTTTTTTTTTTTTGTTTGTTTGTTTGTTTTTCACAAACAATAGACTTTAAAAAGCAGTAACCACTTTCCTCCATTCCATTATATGCTTCCTTGATTCAGAAGACTAAGTAATCTGGAAACACAATTTTGACATATCCTACCTACTGTCCCTACATCTCAAGATGAGAAATATTGTGGATTGTGGACACAGTTGAAGAATTGTAGACACTAGCTTATGGCTTACGTCATTGAGTCTCACTTTGTTCCATGCCCTAGAGTGACTGTTTCTCATGCATGATCTCTAATCTCCACAGTAACACCTCGAGGTAAGCAATAGCATCATCCCATTTTACAGATCAAAAAGGTCACATAACTTCCAAGGTCATCAGGTCACTAAGCATGCATGTTTCACTGCCACCATTCTTCTCTCAAATCCACAGCAAAATCTCTCTCTTTGTAGTTCCACTTATTCTCATTTTTCCCAATAGAACAGTTCCCTCCTATATCAGATTGCTCTTTTAGAATTATCTCTCTGGGCCAGAATGCATTAATTGAAAGCCAAGAAGCAGGCCCACTTATTTCAGCAAGCACGACTATGTGCACCTGTCACCCCACCCCAAGATGGCATACTTGGCCTTGCTGCACTAAATATCCTGTCTCCCTCCTTCCATCTGTGCTCAGCAGCCACACCTGGCAGGACGGTAGATGAGGTATTGCTCAGGTCCTCCATCCATTTGAGAAGATGGTGAGTCGATTATCTTCTCAAAGTTTGGTTTATTGTACTGCTACAGTAGCTTCCAAATACTTTAGGAACTAGAGATAAAATGCCTTTAAAATATTTAACTCTCTGGGGATCACTGCTGTACTTGGAGAATCTAGCTGGTTAGTGCCTAAATCCTGTTGGTTTGTTTTTTTTCTTTTAGCCTCCCTGTGTCCAGCACAACCCATTAGCCCGAAGTCTGTATTCTCTTAAATAGTGGCCTCACATCACTCTCATTGTCAGAAATGATTTAAGCATTGAGGTTATGGAATCTAATTCATTCAGGTCACTTGAGCCAGATGTGAAGGGCAATAGCTACCCCCATCATGATGAAAAGAAGGAAAAGTATCATTTTCACAAAGTGTGAAGGACCCATGGTGTTTCTCTGAAGTCTGTGCCCTCATTAGTCAGCTTCACCCTGCGGGTCAGATAGCCTTCAGGTCCACTTAGATTGTATTATGAACATCCCACATTTTGTGCCAAGACTTTTAGAGGTAGGTACAGAAGTACCGTGATAGGACATCGGGGAGGGTCTCCCAAGTACAGGTGTTCCTGTTCCGTGCTAAACACTATAATTGAACCAGAGCAGAAAACCACATGAGCTGTCCGCATGCTGGGCAGCAGGCACCCTCTGGGCACGGGTGAGTCAGGCAATGGAAGGAGCAGAATGTGTCTGGTGCGCGACTTCAGGGCTCAGCACACCTGGCATGCACCTGCACCCGCACCTGCAGCAGGGGGATGCGCCGGACATCTGCTGGGTCACGAAATGCCCCCCTGCCGGTGCTCCCCATAAGAAAGTGTCGAAGGAACAAAGCAGAACAAACCGCCCAAATTTGAGTGTTTCTCATCTTGTTCTTCTAAAAAGGGAGCTTGAAATTACTAGTGGAGTCATTTCTCCTTCTTGGAAGAGGAGTTGTTTCTTTTTTTTTTTTTTTTTTTTTTTAATGAATTCCTTTTTTGGACTCACATGTGAGGGTTTTTTAAACAATATTTTAAACTGTCGTATTTCCGACTGAAATGAGCAGAGTCTCCTGTAAAACAGCAATTTGCTGTTGCTTCTTCCTTCTCAAATTCGTACCTTGTGTTTGTATGAGAGAAGCAGTTTGTAGGATTATTGATCAAATGGAAGCAATTGTTTCAAGCAGACCTTCCCACCAGCCCCGAGATAATGTTGTCATAAACTTGCAGGGAATCATACCGAACCCAGTTGAGGTGCAGTATATAATTAAAGTTTTGATGTATTAATTAGACAATCTGAGAGCTCGCTTGGAGATAAAAGGACACCAGATGTGTCAGGGAAAAAAAGTTGACGTGCTTTAGATAAAATTTAAAATCAAAAGCCTTCAAATCGTCTTATGCTCTATTATAGCAGAATGATTGCTTAGTTCAAAGTCTTGCTGACAATTTAACAAATTCAGTTTGATCATTTGGGCTTAGAATTTTTTTCCTCTTTCATATTTGCCCTTTCCTTTTTCCCCCAAATAATTTTTGAGATGATAGAAGAATATACAGTATATCAAACATCTGACAAGAGGATTCCCTGTCAAATTCCTGACTTTGAGGGTCACTCCTCGTGTATATTTAGTTCTCTTGTTTACAAGATGGGGGACATTCTTTCAGTTTTGTTATTAGCATCCGCTTAGGTCAAACTTTTAATACGAGCAAAGGCAACTCTCTTATTAATATTTATAAGTTGTAAAATTTATTGACTTTTAAAAATAAAATCTCCGTAAAATCTCCCATGCCTGGAACTTGATATTTAGTGGTGACATTCTCTCTTCTTTGTATTTATTACAAGGATAGAAGTGGTTTTACTTCCTGCTGGGGTGTATTGATGGAGAATAATGAAGTTAACAGTCAGAGAGAGCAAGGGAGCAGTTGCACACTCATCCTTGGCAGATAGGAGCCCTTTAAACAGAGCAGCACCTTTCCCTCTCCACCCCCATCTGTAAAAGTGTAAAGTGAAATGACAGCCACTGCCCCCCCCCTTAAGGGCTGAGTTGGTTCAACCTCATCTTCGAAATCAGATGGAGAAAGAGGGTCCTATGTTCTGATATTTTTTTTCCTCCCTCTCGACATCTGCTCATCTCTTGTTCACTTCATTAATACAAATCTCTTTTCTTCTTTTCTTAGCTCTTCCACCTAAGACTTTGCGTTAAAAATCTTTGAAAGAAAAAAAAGAACTTTTGGTTTAAAAGGGGGAAGTCATCAAACGAACATCTCAATGTCCTCATGCCTTTGTTTTGTCATTACTGGTCATTGTTGTGTTCAGCATTGTGGGTTTGATTTTCCTTTTTTTTTTTATCCAGATCCCCCCACAACTATCCCTCCTCCCACAACAACCACCACCACCACCACCACCACCATCATCCTTACCATCATCACAGGTATGGTACCTTCATGACCATTGAAAATGTCCTGAATGTATATTGTCTTTCTGCTATGGGTAAGAAGAAACCTAAACGTGTCCGCTGAACCCTTGGAATTAAGTTCCATTACTTTGGAACATCAAAGACTTAGAGGCCGAGGTCTTAAGCTGAACCTGAGGGACCTTAGAAGAATCTTTACCACCCCCCCAAACATTTAACAAAAGATCAGTTATTTTGCAGTTGATGCATTAGAGAATTCCTTTTTGAGCATCACTGTTCAAAATGCTAGGAAAAATGGCATCCTGGCTGTTAGAGCCAAACCAATAGCTTATGCCTGGTCCTGGTTGACAAAATGGTAAGTAACGTGGCTCTAGATCTTCTCCTTGTCTTAATTTTCATCTTAATCAACACAAAGGAAAATACACACCGTTTAACATGCCCATAGGGGACACGTTCCTAAATGCATCGTGTCCTTTCTGCCCCAGAGAGAACCCACTGCCAGTGTTACTCCCTGATGTGGACGCCTGGGTAGTCACAGGGGTTCAGAGGGAGCTGCTCTCTTTCCTCAACGGGCACAGGTCCCGGCCCCCTCAGTCCCACAGAGGGGTGGAGGCCACCGTGTAGATCTAACTCTGGCTGTCCCTCTCTTACTCAAAATGAGTTCGGCTATTATTTTGGACTCTCGCTGAGAGAGGAGGCATGCCATCTGTCCCCTTCCTATCTCCGGTGGCTTTCATATTTTTTGATGTTACTTGACTGGAGCCTTGGAGATTGCTCTCCCTTTCAAGGTAGGAAAGGTGATGGCAGACCTTGTCCACTCACACGGAGGATTTCCCTAGATAAAGGGTTCCCTGCTCGCTGCTCACAGGTTCCACCCCAGAAACACGTCAGCATTGTGCTGTGAGGGAAAAGGAATCTCTTTACAAGACAACACTCCTTCATCCCATGATCTGAGGGGACTGCGAGGTCTACCTGAGGCTGTGGCCAGCGCGTGGTCCCGGGCAGCACCGAGCACCTGACTCGTGGTTCCTCGTGTAGGGAGCCTCTTTACCCCTCGACATGGAACCATCCTCTATGCTGACCCTCTGGAGACGGTCGTGGTCTTCACAGCAGCAGCTGAGGTAGACACGACAGGAACTCAGAGAGCACACTTGTCCGTTTATGAGCTCTGCCAGTGGGTTTTCAAACCTCCATTTCTTCATTTTTTAACCATCACAGTGGAATAAAAGGATCCTCAATTTGTTCCCGGTGAGGGTTTCCTAGATGTTGGGTATGAAACCGTCACATCTACACTTACTTGAAAATCCATCAATTGGTTTTGGTGTCTCTAAACTCAGCTCCACCCAGGCTGCTTCCTAAATTCTTGTGTGTGTATGTATTGCTGTTTTAGCTTTTTGTTAGTTCCTTCTGCTTCTTAGGTAAACTCAGTACGTGCTGTGAAAATTTCTTGCACTTTCTGTGTTGTTAATAAGCACAGCCAGATAGTCCTGGCTAACTGAGCCTCTGTGCACCAACCTTCCACACTTGTGAATTAGGTTTTTATCTTTTGTGATTTCTTGCCTCTTCACCTAGTTGTAAGCCATAGTAGGCTTGAGCTCTTGTTCCCAGGTTTTCATAAAATTTTGCAGAAAGCCCCTTCGATGTCAGTGTAAATGACATCACCTCACTCACCACTGCCCTGCATATATGAGCCATTAAGAAAATCCTTCAGTCATCTGTCTTTACAGAAGGTGCCCAGGCATGAACCAGCCCTTACCGTGTCTCATTGTAGAAGGAGCATCTAGGCAGCCAGCCATGTTTGCATTGGAGGCAGTCGAGGCCTTCCCCACTCTGCATAAACACACATTTTCCCTTTAATATGGGACAACACTTTTCCTTCGTGACTGGTCTGTCACTGGCTTAGCTTCTTTTTTAAAGACCTTCCTTAACACTCCCCAGATTCCCAGACTCCTCCCTGCTTCCCAATCAATCTCAGCAACTCAGCTCTTAATCCTTCACTCCAGACTAAAGCTAATCTTATGTCCTCACGCAGCTACAACTCACTGTTATCACAGTTCTGACTGCAGAGACTCCATTTAGGAGGAAATTTTAAAAACAAACAATGCTGTATTTCTGTCCACATCTAAGGTACCTTTCGAGGGACCTGTCTTGCGTCTCTCTCTCTCTCTCTCTCGCTCGCTCGCTCTCTCTCTCTCTGCTGCTGACCTCTCAGCTCAAGGTGGCATAAGATAATCTCATAGATGCTCTTTAGCCTCTTGATGTTGGCCGTTAAACCCTTTCTGCACACAAAATACATTTGTGGTAATGAATGTCCAGAGTCTCCGTGGCACATCCAAGAGTAGTTAAAGTAAAATTGCTACTAAAACAACAGTGTAGAATCCGTTGCCTTAATGGATGTGATCTTACAGGCTTACTGTGTCTTAACAAGCTGTCTTACATATATTTATCTTGCCCAGAAAGTACACTTGTGAAATTTAACATTTGCTCCTTTCTTCAAACAGATTAAAGGTTATAGAGCTGAATGAGGCTGTGTCCCATTTTAAAGGTCCAGGCTATCCCTTAGATTTAGATTGATTCCTAAAAAATCTTCCAGACTGAATCTCGACAAATGGATAGCTAAATTAATTTCCACCCTTCTCTCTTGCACTGTTTGGTGCATTACTGCCACCATTAGCCTTAAAAGCTTCAACAGCTAAATCCAGTGACAGTAACATAAAGCCTGAACTCAAAAAAAAAAGCAGCAGCCCACAGTCATCTGTTCTTTTTCTCTCATTCAAATGTAATCACTGAAGTCCATTCCCCAGTATAGCATCTGATTACAAGGAAAATGTACAAATGCAATTAAAATATATAGCTATTTTAAGCTCAAAGGTCATAGTTGATTTCTGATTTCTCAGAAAGGAAGTATGCCGGTGTTGTCTTTTATCTTCCGTAGCCAGAATAATCGAATTGTTCCCCTTGTTAGGGAGGCCAGCTGTCACTGAGCTCTCGGTCGCCTGATTCCCTCACAACAGCTCACAACTCTATCCTGGAGACTCTTGAAAGGGAGCCTAGCCCGACTGGTCTCTGCCCACCCAGGACCTACACCTGATAGGAAGCAGGAGCAGGGCCTGTGTGTCCCAACCTTCTGTCCATCCTGCACCGAGCCAGCCTCCCCACTTCCATGTGAGGGCCCTCACCTAAGGGCAGCTTCATCTATAGAAGAATGTGTGCAGCCTTTAGAGCCCCAGGAGGAATGCTTGATGATCCATTTGCCGTACACCATGCTTGCAGCTTTACAACTATTAGGCCGTTAATGTCATTAGAATATTTTTCCAGAAAAAGCCATTTGAGGAATGGAGCTAGAAGGGGACCCCCTTTCGAGCCACATGTGGTTTGTCCTGTGAGTCCTTGGTTCTCTTCGCTCTCGTGTACATTGCTATTCTGACCACATATTTCTTTCTCACCTCTTGGCAGGCCCCCACTTCATTTTTTTTTTTTCATTTTTTAAAAAAATCATGTCAAGTTGTCCATGTGGTTTCATTCATGAAGCTACGTGCTGTCACCCAGAAGAGGAAACTGCATAAACTGGCCCTGGAGCCCCTGTTAAAACAGAAAAAGCAGCATTTCCCAGAGTAAATGTCCTTCATGCAGATTCCTCTCAAAGACTGGAAGCAAAGAAAAGCCTCCTGCCGTACTGGGGGATTTTGTTTGTTTTGTTTTCAGCTCTTTGAAGTTAGCTGCATTTGGTATATTAGGTGTGTCTATAGTCTGGCTACCATTCACCCCTTTCTGACAGTCGGAGGAAGCTTTATCCTGCCCTCATCTTAGGAAGATATTGTCTCCCTAGTTAATGTGGCTATTGTAGTGGTTTTGACTCGGTGGCGTCTAGAGTTAGATGCGTGTTGCAGGTTGCCATGTACAGCACTCAGTTTTAAACCCCTTTAGCAACTGAAATAAGAAATCAGGCCCAGAGGAGTGTAAGCTGTAGGCCACTCTGAATGTGACTATCATAAATTAAAAAATAAAATCACCTAAGAATAAGAAATGAATAGCTATACGGCCAAATTCTGAAACACATTTAAAAATTCTTTCATAGGGACGAAGTAGGTCATTTTGAAACCAGCTTTTCTTTTTCCAAAGTACATATCTGATTAAATGTTTTGTGTTTCTTGGAAAAGAAAACAGCAAATTTTTTTTATTGGTATCTCAGGACTCAAAACCCAGTAGGCCTTGGAGAAAGCATGTGTTTGCAGTTTCTTGCCAGTTACAGTAGAGAAGGGGCCTTGTGAGTTAGAATAGAGGAGGGTCTTATAAGTTACAGTAGAGAGGGGCCTTGTAAGTTACAGTAGAGGGGGGCTTATAAGCTACAGTAGGGGGGTCTTGTAAGTTACAGTAGAGAAGGAGACCTTCTAAGTTACAATAGAGAGGGTCTTGTAAGTTACAGTAGAGAGGGGGCCTTGTGAGTTACAGTAGAGGGGGGCCTGGTAAGTTACAGTAGGGGGGTCTTGTAAGTTACAGTAGAGAGGAGGCCTTGTAAGTTATAGTAGAGGGGGGCCTTGTAAGTTACAATAGAGAGGGTCATATAAATTACAGTAGAGAGGGGGCCTTCCAAGTTACAGTGGAGAGTCCTGCTCCCAAAGGGCTGTCTGTTCTCCAAGGTCTTCATGTGATTACTCTCCCTGATGCTGTTGATATTTGCCTGATGCAAGGGGTATTATATTTGTCACTTTTTAGGCATACATTCAACAAATATCAAGCATCCATAAGACATACAGCAATATGCTCATGCCTGTGGAGATAGAAAATTCCTTGGACCCCTTAAAATATGATTGAGGGAATAGGTTAGATGCGCTGAAACTCAGCAGCAGGAGATACTGTACAGTCAGGGCTGAATGGGCGGCACAGACAGGGATAGGGCCAAGGAGAAGTAGACTTTGGTCTTCCCCATCAAAGAAAAGATAAACTGTAGGTCAGGAAGGATGGCATTTTAGAAATTAAGCATGGCAGCCCAACTTGACTTCAAACATCTGTCACCA